TTTTACTGAAGCAGAGCTGCACAATTACAAAAGGCAAGAAGAAGATACTGAAATACTACTATCCCTGTACTACTACCACTCAAATGTACTTCAATTTCTTTATTGATTTATTATTAAATTTCTGTATGATGGTGAAATCATCCAGGAGTGAAAGAGGGTGAAATCCATAACTGATGTAGTTGTGGTGGCAGGAGTCCCTTATTTAGGACAAATGGTATGAGAATGAGCAGCCTTCCCCCTTCCCCCACCCCCTCTGATGACTTAGGAAGGAAAAAAGGGAGACAAAAAAATAAGAGATTTCTAGAAAAATTTTTACTCCGAGAAGTTACACAAATTTTATTAAGATGTGAGAAATTACATTCGTTAAAACCAACATGGATTCCATGTTTTGGATAGGTTGTTCAACTGCATCTCTTGATCTATGTATTTTGTGCCCCTTTCATGTACTAACTGCATGGAAGTTTATTGCTTCCAAGCAAGCTTTGCAAAAAAAACTTGGGTATTAGTAATTTTGGCTGTTCTGTTTTTTGTCCCGGTAACAGTGAATTCAAGGTTGCAGATAAGGTGTGTCCTGGTTCTGGCTAGGAGAAAGCAAATTTTGTTTTCTTGTGAGTAGCTAGAATATTGCCGTGTTCTGGGTTCAGTGTGGGAAGAATGTTGATAATATGCTGATGTTTTCAGTTGTTGCCAGAGGATCAAGGACTTCCCAGCTTCCCAGGTCTTGCTGGTGCGCAGGTGCACGAGCGGCTCGGGGCGCGTGGCCAGGACAGCAGAGCAGAACCTGCCCGAGGGCTCCTCCCTGCCCTAGAACGTCCTGCTCAGTACCTGGGCAGGGGGAAGTTGGCTGCGGGTGGATCTCTGCTGGGGGACTGGCTCAGCGTCAGGCAGAGGGTGGTGAGCAATTGGGTTGTGCATCATCTGAAAGTAAATTAATCCAAAAGTTTGTGAATACAGCGTATTTTTTTTTTTGCTTTTGAACAATATTGAGTTCTATCTGTGTTATTGCAGGGAAAAAAAAAAGAAATAGATTTATACTTTGGTGGTAGTGGGTAGTCTTCATGCTTAAAAAATTTGGGTTTTAAACAGTCTATTAATTTCATGTAGCAGGTGAGAGGGGAAAAAAATGCTGGAGAAACAGTATTTTCATATGGTTACCACCTAAGATTCAAGAAAATGGATTAATTATTACAGCATGCATTGTGATATTTATTAAATTCTTCAGTTACAATTATTAGTTTCTGACTTAGAAGCATAGGAGTTGAGTTATATTTCTGACAAGTCTCTTCACTGTACATCGTTTGGAACTAGTTATTCACTATTGTTTGGCACTCGCTGACGTATGATTGAAGTTTATACTTCAGAAAAATACAGAATTAATTTCTGTGTAGTTGAATATTGGAATAATTATTGCATGTTATCAGAAACAAAGCACTTTACAGACCTCTCTCAGATCTCCCCTCAACAACTAAGATTTGAGAACAGTTTTTTTTTTTCTTTGCTGTAAACTATTCTGCTGTCCACAACACAGTAAAATAAAAGTTTTAAATTTATGGGACGTTCTTTTCTGAAGTCCCTATGCAGTACTTGAATTAGACACCAGAGGCTTTTGGTGAGGTGAGACTGAATATTTTGACCAGACTGATCAAAGAAATTGAAGTACATTTGAGTGGTAGTAGTACGGGGATAGTAGTATTTCAGTAACTTCTTCTTGCCTTTTGTAATTGTAAAGCTCTGCTTCAGTAAAAGGCAACCTGAGCCAAGATAGCTTTTGTGACACTTTGGTTAAAGAATGGCAGATGTATTTTGAGTGCGTGCTGCTAGGGAATGGTGATTGGAATATTCAGTGATAAATTTCGGGTCTACTCTTTTGTTATCAAGAGAGTTTCTGAAAGCAGCAGAACTGTGTTTGGATCTGTGATATTTACGTCAAAGAGCTTACTTCTGGAAGGACAACAGCTCTTTTATCAGTGTTAATGAACTCTGTGTGGTGTGTATACAAGAGAGGGCTTGCTAGCAGACAAATGGGTTCTTCACGTTTGTCAGTATAGTTAAAGTAGTTTCTTGCAAATGCTCATATGGCTGCATACTGACTTTCATTCTGTTAAAATACTTAAAATGTCTTGGGTGTGTGGTTTTTTTTTATTTTTTTTCCCTTTTTTTTTTTCTCTTTTAAATTTAAAAGTAATCCTATGTTTCTGAAAGGCAGAAGTGTTCTTCTAAAGTAAATTGCTGATCAGTGTTAACTATTTGTCTTAGTAGCTTCTCAGTTTTTTTAAAGGCAGCTCTTGTCGGGCTGGCAGGATGTATTGGGCAAATATTTAGAGAGTTCTTTTCAGTAATTTTGTTAATAACTTCAATTGTGAAATAGAGTGTACATGTACTACACTGGAGATAGTACCAGTCTGAATAGAGGTTGTAAGTGCTTTGGGAGACACAGAATGCAGAAGTATCTCTGACTGCTGGGGATAGCTTAGGTAATGGACTTGAACAGCAGGAAAAAAGACATAGAAGTGGTTGAAGGAACCTCTAGTGATGGGGCATATTGCAGAGTAATCTGTTAGTGTCTGTGTTCTAACTTGGTTTGGAAAGCAAGCAAGTAACAAACTGGTGTTTGCCAACTTAGCTGATCATCAAGGGTTTAAGCATAGTAAATCCTGCCTGTGGCAGCAGGGTGAGCTTGCTGACATCCTATTCTCACTTTGTGATCTGCGTTCAGTTTACCAAAAACAGCTTCCTGAGAATGAAGACTATCCTGGAGCTATTGAATAGTTGCCAGATCATCAAAAGAGAGATCATGCTTGTAATGGAAATGTTTTTATATTAAAATGCATTCTAAGACAAGCTTGTCAGCATCAGAAAGCTAACATCTGTAAGAGTATTAATGAAGCCTGGTAAAACATGGAATTGGCAACAAGTAGGGTAGGCTATGTAGTCCAAAATACAGTTTTTTAAAAAATGTATTAATGTTTGGCCTTCTCTGATCTGCTGCTTTCTTTCCCAGTTTATGTCTGAGTGTTTGTGAAGATTAGAAATTAGTAAGGTATAATAATGAAAATATGTGATTTTCCCATGTCTAATTGCCAGACCAGTAGTGTGTACAACCAAGTGATAGAAAGTATTTTCTTGACTTTGGTGGTGTGGACATTTATATCTTCAATAGTTGCTTTTCTTGGTAGTCTTTATATGTAAACCTGTGAAATTGGTCAGGTAGTGTTCTAAAAATACATCTATGCTTTTGTTACTGTTCTTTTATCAAAACTAGATGGAAGAATTAGGCCTAAAAGAAAGTTTTCTTTTACGAGTTTATTGAAATTTATAGATATTCTGCTGCTGACTTTGCACTCTGAGGATTGTATAGTTTTGGCCCAGGTTTCACTATACTGCTTTGTAGGAAAGGGATTGACTCATCTGTCATAGCAGCACTATCAAAAAATTTTTTAGAGCTTTTTAGTGGGAAAAGTGAGAACATGAGGAAGACTTGCATCTGCTTCTAGAACGATTTTTGTAGGAAGGAATATGCAGTCAGTACTGGTGAGCTGTGGACAAAGCTAACTGTGTATATCATGTCTTATCAGGCCAGGCTGAGCTATTTTCCCATTGCAACCTTCATGGTGCAGAGCTTTTGTGCTGGGAGTCAGAAGGGTGGTGATAACACCCATGTTGTGACCATCACTGAGCAGTGCTGGCACAGTACCAAGGCTCTTTCTAACAGTCCCCCCCACAGTGGGAGAGAGGGCTCAGGAGCTTTGGGGGGAACATAACCAGGACAGCTGACCCAAACTAACCAAAGGGATACTCCACACCATATGACGTCAGCTCAGCTATAAAGCTGGTACGAAGAAGGAGGGGGAGCTAGCTGCTCCTTGGTCCTCCAGAGCAACCACAACACGTTTTGGAGCCCTGCTGCCCAGGAAGGGTCAGACATTGTGTGAGGATGGGAAGTAGAGAATAAATCTTTGGGGTTTTTTCCTCTTCACTTCTGTGTGCAGCATTGCTTGCCTTTGCTTTTCCTTTTACTTTAAACTGCCCTTGTTTTTACCCACAAGGGGTTTTGTCTCCATCTTATTTTATTCCCCTTTTCCTTTGTTGAGGAGGGAGAGGGAAGGGGGAGGGTGACAGAGTGGCTTGATGGGCATCTGGTGCTTCAACAGGGTTAAGCCACCTCACATATATAACATTTTGTAGTATTTAGCTGCAGAGCATGATTCAGATAACCTTATATTTCAGGCAGTGTTTCATCCGTTTCTTTCTGTGATGTAGTTCAACTTCAGGTAATACAGTTTAATTGTCTTGTGTTCTCTTGCTTATTAAGAGCTATTTTCCTACTTGTGGGGAGAGCATGCGATAGCAAAAGTGTTCTTGGGTTTTAATCTTAAGCCATACTTCCTTTTGCCTGTTTTCAGACTAGAGAATTTTACTGGATTTCTACACTGTTTTACGACATGTAGACTCTGTCCATTGAACCTAGAGATAATATGGAGTTGTTGGTGGCCCTGAGCCTCTTGTTTTTTTTTCATAAGGAACTTAAATTGGCCTCTGAGACTAACATTTAGGGCCTAATTAAAAAAATTGGCTTCTTGTAGGAAGCTCTTGAAATCTCTTCTAGATGGCTCCAGGAAGTATTTCAACAAGGGAATTTTGCCACAGCTTTCTGGATCTGACCTTACACAAGATGCTTCATCCCACCTATACGAGGAAATGAAGGAATATTACACTTGTATTTTCATGATGCTTGCAATATATTGGATTAGTCTGACACTATGGTAATAAAAGCGCAAATGTGATGCTATAAATGAGATGAGGATAGTTAGATTATAACTAGATCTGTGTGAGAAAATAATACCATAAAACAGAAGGGAAGTAATGATCAAAACACCACAAATGTAATCCTCCTGTAATGTAAACATCTAAGAAGTACTAATTTCTTGCTTTTCCAAGTACAGGGACTTGCCATGAGGTGCTGAAGCCTTGTTTCATTGATTCGGAGAGACTGGACCTAAATGGCGCAGCATGACTTTGCTCCAGCCTGGCTTAATTTTCCTACTCCACAGTCAAGAAAGGTGCGTGTGTTGTTCATTTTAACAGGCACTCTTGGTATTAGAGAAGTCTAAATGACATAACCTCAATTGCAGTAAAAATGCAAATCTCTTTATGAACAGGGTGATAACAGACAATATCTGTTCAGCCTTGTTACTGTCATATAAGTAGTTGGACCATGGTTGTTGTCAAGCCTGTACCTCCAGCAGAGTGTTTTTGCTTAAGCAGATGACTTTGTGGAAGGAAACTTGTGCCTGGCCATGTTACTAGAGCTGTTGTTGGATTAAGATTACCTTCATCAGGAGTTTAGTATTAACTATGGTATTTTGTGCTAGGATTACCAAGAGAGACATGCGCCTAACGCTCTTGCTTGTTATTCTGCTCTGTGTCCTATAAATTTAATAGAAATGTTATTCTATCATCCAAGTAATTTTAAGGAAATGTTTTTGAAATGCACCTTCTGAAATAACTCTTCAGTTGCTAGTGGGATACTTGTTACCACTGGTGAAGTGCGATGCTTTCAAATAGTTGTGCATTTTCACTCTGGTTATTTCACCTAGACTACTGTTACTCACTTTATACAACAGGACAGTTAGCTTGGAAACAGGAATTAGCAATGTCTGAATTGTTAGGATTTGTAAACATTCTAGGAAGTCATGAATATGCCTGTCTCATAAATGGTTCTTTTTTCTCTGGCGTATCCTTCTACTTTTTCTTAATTTGTGCATATGCAGAAGTGGAGGCAGCACTGGCTATTCAAACTCTTGTCATCCATTTCCCTATTTGTAGACCCTTGTCCCACCCATTTCCTAGAACAGATTTTTATTTCCACTTCCCATATATTAACAAAGCAGTTGAAGAGAAGAGCAGGTGCGAGGGATGGAGATGAAGAGGAAATACAAGGTGAGGAAGGCAAGGTGTCTCATGTTTCAAGCAGAATGCATCTTGGGATATGAGTGAAACTTCTCAGAAAGTATTGCTGTAAGATGTCTATGTGGAAATTGCAGACAGACTGGAAAACTCAGTTTTTGCAAGCTTACTTTTACTTCATGTTAAGTGATAAGATTTATTCTTATACTTGACAAGCCATGTTGCTTTCGTTCTTGCTTGGCTGAACCTAGCTAGATGATTTCTCAGCTTACAGAAGTTGCCAATAGATGGCCTGTCGAGTGCAGTTTACTGTCATTCTTTCCAGAAGAGGCTTGCTAGACCGATAGCTCCATGGTGTGGGGAAAATGCAAACTGCATGATCTTTGCACACAATTTAGAGACCTCAGATTCATTGTATCGTGTACGACTTGGATACAAGGTATAAGAAGCTGTCAGTTACTATATGTGAAAATGTAATTGTTCTTCAAAGCTCATAAAAAAGAAAAGGAAGAGGAATCCCAAAGGCAGTATTAGAAGGTTGTCATATGTAAATGAACACATGAAGCATCTTTTAAAATTTCATCTATGTTCAGCGGATCCGGAGCTTTCTGAAATTTTTTTCAGCTTTTTAAAAATTTGTTTATAAGGATTTATTTTTTATTTAAATATTGAGATTAATTTTTGAACTTAATAGATTTATTTTTTTTTTAGTTACTTGTGGTTTTCTGTTTTTTCCTCTCTCTCCAAGTTTGTTAAGGAAGTAATTCACTTCCAAGACCTCCAATTGAGAGAGCAATCCCTTTTCATTTGACTTCTGTATGGTTTGGAAATATATGCTTTGTATTTTATACATACCTGTTTTTTACTTGAGTTTGAATTTTAAGCAGTGAATTTGGACAGCACCTTGCACTCTTCTGGGCCATTGTCAGTAGAACTTGGGTATAATTTTTTTGTGTGTGATTTTTGCTTGTGGGGGAGGTAAGAAGATGGAAATAATTTGCTCGGTATTTTCCAAAAGAAGTTAAACCCATTACTGTAATTTC